GCTAGCCTCCCTCAGGACAGTTTTCACACTGTGAGCATGTGAGCATGTGAGATGTGGGCAGCCACCTCCAGACCTACTTCACATTTAAATAGTCTTTGCTGATCTGCCTCACTGAGTCCCTTCCTCTAACGCACCTCTAATGCACTGCTTCAGACCGCTTTCCGTTAAGATGGCTTGGATCCTTGTAGGCCAGTACCTCATGAAATAAATGCTGTTTCTGACGAGCACGTTGCCCATTTGTGTATACGGTGTGTCTCAGTGAAACGCGCAGACACAAAAGAGGGGTGAGAAGAGATACTTATCGATCATTTTCTAGTCATCTCCTGCCCAGGTGGGATGTTGTCCATCTAAGACCAACGTAACATAAGCAAAGCTAGTGAAAAGGCGTGTCAAAGCAGCTGAGTGACTGGAGAGAGAGGCTGGAAGGAGTGGATGTGCTTGCTGAGGGACAGACTCTCGGGGGAGTTGATATTTGTTACTAAATATGGAGGGAATAGTCCTGGTGGTTCTGCAGCATGCCATTAAATGTGCTACCGGTTTAAAAGCATCCAATGGAGTTAGCTTGTTCTACTACCGTTCTTGATTTATTGATATGCCTTTCCCTTTGAGCAATCATGCTGCACGCTTAGATACTAGTGAAAGAGCCCTTTATCTTTTTTTTTTTGGTCTGGCTCTGGCTAATGCCTGAATCGGAAACAACCGTGATAGAAGATTCCACTAACTTACACACACTTCAGGCATATGTACTCCACACATACTGTCATCCTTAAGTCTCGCTTAGGCTCCAGCCCCAGGTTGTACTTTAAACCGACAGGAGTCAGCGTGTCTGGCTACTTGGGCAGATGGGAGATTTAACACAGCAAAGGTATTGCCAGAATTATTTCTGAAGTACACTAGTGGCGTTCCCCCTCCCCCCCCATGGTTGTTACCCAGGGTCATCTTTGCCCATTTGGCAGAGTTATGCTTTTCCTGATAAGAGCTTAGGGGACTTAATGGCAGACCAAGCTTAATGGTGGCTGTGACCCTGTGCTGACCCCTTGAGCTGACCCTTAGAGGCGTGTTCTCTGCTTTGGGGATGGGCCTCATGGCTGGCAAGCCATGGTTGTCTCCTTTTGTTATAGGAGTGGAGACTAATTGGAGGTTAACCCTGGCGAACAAACATTTATATCGTGGCATGCTAAACCTCTCCTGTCTCTAGCAGGCCTGTTTAGCAGCAGCCTGCATATCTCTGGGGTCTTTTGGAGTCAGTGCTCCTTTTGCTAAATGACACTTGTGTGACTTAACCTAAGTGAAAGCCTCCTAAGTGAATGAATCCGGTATCAAGTCCTTTGTGGCAGTAGAGCTCTTTTTGTGGTGGGTGCCGGGAGAGGGAGAGGCAATCCTGGCAATGTCTGGAGACATTTTTGGTTGGCATGCTCCTGGCATGTAGCAGGCAGAGCAGAAGTGTGCTGATAAATAAAACAACACCTTAAACGGCACTAGAGTTTGCTCCCACAAAAGGACTACCTAGCCCCCAGAGTTGAAGTACCCAATGGCCAGATCCCCCTTCAAGGCTACCTTCCCCGAATTGACTGTCCCACTGGAGAGCTTCCCCCACTATAGCCAGCTGACATTTGGTTTACCTCAAATCCGTTTAAAACTCTATTAGCGGGTCCTGAATCCGCCAAACCACTGAGAGTTTGAGTGAAGTCACATGGATCTGATATTGAGGAAACCAATGATGGATGTGTGGTCATTTACGATGAAGTGACAAAAATTTCCGACGACTTATGACATCATTTTTATGTCAGCATTGAGAACATTAAAGTTTAAAGAGCACCCAGCAGATCAAAATGCAAAAATGGTACTTGAGAAACAAAAATTTAGATGTCTCCCCTCTTGAACTGCAAGGCACCCTTTTCCTTCACCCACATACCTTGTGACTTAAGCTCAGCATGAAGCTGATTTCAGTTCTGCAGTGGAGGTGCTAATCTTAATTTGCCCCCTCTTCCTCCAGGGAGCTCAGCGTATCTGTCCACCCTCAGATTCATTTTCCCTGGAAAGCGGTGGGGTTTTATAATGATCCGATCTATTTTGTAGCTGGTGTTTCCATTGTAATGCTATTACAGAACCAGCGTCGTGACAAATTGTCTGTTTATGAGGGGAATCACTTGTACAAGTAGCAGAAAATTAGACATGCTTCTATTCTGCAGTAACAATAAAAACCAGCAAGGGAAAAAAAAAATCCTCCAATTTATTCCCATCTGTATCAGCAGGGAAGCTCTAGAAGATGAATTTCCTTTTAACATCTCCCAAGACCGATTATTAACTACAAATACAAATGCAAAAATGCAGTTCCCCTAAATCCTAACGAAGACCAAGACAATCTCAAGCTTAGCCTGACACGGGCCCTTTAAGAAAACCAGGCACTTCTAACTCCACCCCTCTGCCGACTGGAAGCCTGCAGGTCGCCTTTCCAAAGGCAGTTAGTTTTAGGGATAAACAGGGGAGAGCCGAGTCGCCCCCCTACTCTCCCTAGGAGGAATGTTCCCCGAGGTTTTAGGCCTCCTAAAAGCGGCTGTCTGGAGACGGAGTGGGAAAAGAACAAAAGAAACTTGTGAAGTCTGGAAGCCACGCCCACCCTAGGCTGCACCGCCCCGAATAAAGCGGAAAGAATGTAGTTAAATCCGAGTCCCCGACCGTGCTACCCTTGCACGGTCCATCTCTGCGGGTCAGTTTTCTAGAAGCGTCCTGAGACCGTAGGCGCCGAGTGTCTCCTGTCCCATACCCAACATGGCAAAGTCAAGGAGCCAAGCGAACTCACCAAGTGGCTCCCTCAGCAGAGGCTTTATTTACATCGGCGATATACTTCTGCAGAGCGAAGCCAAAGGCGTCCCCCCTCGATCTCTAGCTTTTATTGTTAAATGCTGCTTCGCCGGACTATGTCCAGAAGTCCCCTAACGCTAAACTCAAAGAGTACCTAGGAGAAGTTGGGGGAGGGGGGGCTCAGTGCAGTTGGCTAGAAGTGGCCATCTTGGTAAAGATGAGGCCAAGGTTCCACCCTTGGCAGGGTAACTTGGAAGGTTAAGAGTGTATTCCAAGGTGAGGACGGTTTCTGTTCAGCCTTGGGACCAGACAGCATGACCACTAGATCAAAAGTAGGATTAAAGACAAGGGGGAGTGGGACTAGGGCCCAGGAAAGCGATTTAAGTCATACCAACTGCTTTATAAAACACTCAGGGCAGTTGACAGCTAGAAAACACTTTCTACTTTTTCTTTTCTTTCTTTCTTTCTTCCTTTCTTTCTTTCTTTCTTTCTTTCTTTCTTTCTTTCTCTCTCTCTCTCTCTCTTTTTGTGCATTTTGTTCCCATGAGTTTGTCCTTCTGTTGACTAAACTTGGATAATAAAACCCGTTTTTTTTTTTTTTTTCTTTTTTTTTTTAACTCAGAAGTGAAAGCTGTTATGTATCAGCAGGGTAAAGTGTTTAGACCCTTCTCACCTGGTAGGCCAGTTTCCTGCCAGCCCTTTCTGGGAGGGAGGGGCCTAACAGTATTGGAGTTTCTGATTCTTTGAAGCTGGCTCTCTACAGTAGTAATTGCGGTTTTATTTTTACCTCCTGGAGTTTTGTAGGAGTCGGTGAGCGGTAATAATGGTTATACAGTTCCCTCGCTTAATCGAGGCTATTTGTTTAGCATTGTGCCTGCAGTTACTTGGGAAAATTGGCACTTGAAGTGTGTTTCAGCCCTCCTGAAATCATGCTCCCTTTTCTTGACTAGGCAAATCTTGGTTTCTTAATCCTGTTTCGTGACCTGTGCAGTGTTTGCAAGAGGCAAAGAGAAAAACGATGGGGGTGGGGGTGAGGGTGGGGGTTACACCTGGTTTCAACAACTGGACGCGAAAGGGCCTTGTCTTTGCAAAATTCTTTCCCAAGCAAGGCTAACCTGTGGCTGCCCTCACGCCAACACGCGCGCACACACACACAGCCTCGGCCCTCTGCAGGGGAACTTTCTGTCCCTAGCTCCCAGCGAGCATCCGCACGGAGCAGCCAAAGGGATCCACGCGCGCCGGCGCGGACGGAAGGTGCCAGGCTACATCTTGGCGGGGGTGGGAGGGTGCGGTGGCCTAAGGAGCCCGGCGGCTGCCCCTCCCACGTGTCCCGGCACCTGCGCGGCCGGCGCGGCGTGGAGTCCGCCTCCCTCCGGAAGAGGCGGCGCGGCCGTGGGCCGGGGCCTGGGACGCAGGGTGGTGTGGGTGGGGGGGTGAGGCCCGGGGCGGGAGCACGTGCGCGGGGAGGCGGCGCGGGCCCGAGCGTCTGTGTGCAGCTCGGCTCAGCCCGGCGCGGGGCTGGGGCTTGCGGGGACGGCCCCGCGGAGCGCGCCAGGCCCCGGCGCTGCAGTACTGCCCGAGTCCGGGCGGGGTCTCTGTTCCCTGGCGGAGCAGCTCGCGCGGCCGCGGGAAGCGCCCTCTCTTTCTCCGCCGCCGCGCGTCTGCGCCCTGCCGCCCGCGCCGCGCTCCGAGCTCCCCGCTCCCCGCCGCGCGCCCGGCCCCGCGCCCACTCGCCCGCGCGCCCACTCGCCCGCGCTCCC